GAAAGGAACGAGTCATTTGTCTGGTGTCAAATAAGAAATTCTCTCATTCATAATCCTATTGTTTGTCGAGACGTCCCACTAAGTACTATTTGTCAGGATCGACCCAGCAACAGTTCCTCATTCATGAGCATGAGCATGCATGCTATGCTGTGGCCTATGGGACAAGAAGCGCAACAAAACAAAGTAACCTGTCATATCGATCATTTTTTAGATAGAATATGCCTGTATAGTACAACATTATTGGGATTAGAATAATAGATTTCAAAATTATAAAATTGAATTTTAGACCATCCAAATAGATGCACTAATATGGGAACTAATTTTTACGCCAATTATTCTTAGCTAGGTTTTAGTCCTCGAGTGGGCTAAAAATAGTATGAAACAGTCTCTTCAAAATTTAGCACTGAGTATTGCACAATCATCATCGATCTTCCGCTCTTCTGGGGTTCTCTGACCAATCCACTAGGCAGGTTTGGTTGCAAGTCAGTTTTTACCAAGGCCTTATTTAGATTGCAAGTTTTTTTACTCTCTCTTCATCACATTAAATCTTTAGATATATGCATGGAGTATTAAATATAGATAAAAAAATAACTAATTACACAGTTTGATTGTAAATTACGAGACGAATCTTTTGAGTCTAGTTAGACCATGATTGGACAATAATTGTCAAATACAAACGAAAGTGCTACAGTGTCAAATATTGATTCCTAACCATCATCTAAACAAGGCCCAAGCTAAAATATAGATTTTCAATAGATTTGACATGTAATTAGTTTAGTATTTAAAAATACCTAAAAAATTTGACAAGACAATCATTTTTCCTCTTATTGGCAGCAAATCAAGTACAAGCTTATTTTACTAAAATATTGGTTTGTCCTAGTATTGGTGTATCCATATTATAGCTTACTCTAGAATTGACATGGCAAATATTAGTTTTCAACCAACCAAGAAGGTTGTACATCCTAAGATCCTTATCCTACCTCAATATTTAAGAGATTTGCAATGTATGGCTTGGAAAAAGTTAGACAAGAAGAATCTTGACCTGCTTAATAAGCTATTGCTACAAATTCATGACCTACATCTATCCGCCTTCGAACTGACATCCAAGACACAATCACTTCAAGCACATTTATAAATCTTAGACCCAAAGAAACAAATTTTCGAAACATAATCTAGAAGTGATGAACACCACCCAAGTGTAAATTTTATGTTGTGTGTGTTGGGTCGAGATGGCGGACTAGAGGGAGGTAAATAGTCCATTCTAAAATTAAACACGTCGGCTAACTGAGACAAATGCGGAATTAAAATTAACGGTCTAGCCAAGACTACACCCCTCTATCTAAATTCTCTAGCACCTTACAAAGATACTAATTAAGCAACCTAGGTGCCGGGCTAGTTAGAGCTCACCTAATCAATTCTAAAAGTAAGATCACACAAACCTATGCAACTAGTACTTCAAGCACGGAGGAGCTTCTACACAACTAGTATGCAAAAGCACAAAGCCTAAGCTCACTAGCAATGCTCAATAACAAGGCAACTAATGCCAAATTAAAGAGCGTAAATTACTTAGCTACACAAACTAAGCAATGTAACTAACAAGGTTACTAAAACCAAATTAGTTACGCAAGCGAGCTACTTCTATGCTACACAAGAAAGAAGATAACTAGCAAGCTACACAAGCTAACTAACTACAAGAGCAACTACACAAGCACAATATATATAAAAGTAAATACAAGCTTGTGTGACAGGAATGCAAACCAACGGGATGACAAGGTTGACACGGCGATTTTTATCCCGAGGTTCATGTGCTTGCCAACACGCTAGTCCCCGTTGAGACAAGCTCCAAGGTTGCCGCTGGTCATCTTGCTAGTGGTGACCCGCAAGTCACACTCTCTGAAAGCTCCAGTTTGGTTTTGGTGAATTGATGAAACCCTAAGTGCTAATCTAGTTTATCAAAATAATTATGAGATAGGTAGCACTACTCCAAGTGGTGAAGCAAATGAAGATCATGACATGATGATAGTGATGCCATGGTGGTGATCAAGTGCTTGGATTTGGAAAAGAAGAAAGAGAAAAACAAAAAGCTCAAGGCAAAGGTTAAATTGATAGGAGTTTTTTTTGGTTTAGTGATAGAGACACTTAGAGAGTGTGATCACATTTAGGATTGATAGTCGTACTATTAAGAGGAGTGAAACTCGTATCGAAATGCGGTTGTCAAAGTGCCACTAGATGCTCTAACTCATTGCATATGCATTTAGGATCTAGTGGAGTGCTAACACCCTTGAAAATGTTTGTGAAAATATGCTAACACACATGCACAAAGGTGATACATATTGTGTTTAGCACTTGGGAGTAAGGGTAAGAAACTTCATCGGTGCCCTGAACAGAAAAAACAGGGTTTCACATATTGCACCGGACGCTGGCCTCAACTGGACCGGAGCGTCCGGTCAGTGGAAGCAGTGAAGACGCTGGCGTCGGTCTTTGACCGGACACTAGGTCACTTCGTGACCGGACGCTGACGGGGTGCATCCGGTCCTGCTGACGTGGCAGCGCACAGAGGAGACGTTGAGTGACCGGACGTTGGGTGAGTCCGGTCGGGCATGACCGGACGCGTCCGGTCGTGATTTTTCGCGAATTGAACCTTACTGAAAATGACCGAACGCTGAGGTCCTGCGTCCGGTCACTTTCAAGCAGCGTGTCCGGTCACAACTTAAATGTACTGATGACCGTTGAGATTGGGTGATCAGCATTTGAAGCAGGGGCCACGTGGCATGCATCGTGCGACTGGACGCTGGGGTCCAGCGTCCGGTCGATCTGACCTGCGCGTCCGGTCGTCCCGTTTTTCAGTGGACTGAGGAGCCAACGGCTCTATTTCGTGGGGGCTTCTATTTAAGCCCCATAGCCGGCTCAAGCTCACTCTCTTGGCCATTTGCATTGACATAGCAACCTTGTGAGCTTAGCCAAAGCCCTTCCACTCATCTCTATTATTGATTCATCATCTTTGTGAGATTGGGAGAGAATCCAAGTGCATTGCTTGAGTGATTGTATCTAGAGTCACTTGGTATTCGTATTTCGCTGCGGGATTCTCTTGTTACTCTTGGTGGTTGCCGTCACCTAGACGGCTTGGAGCAGCGAGGATCGTTGAGTGGAGGTTGGTGTTTGTCTCCGGCTCTGATCACGGTGATTGTGAGGGGTCTTGTGCCTTCTTCGGCGAAGCACCGAAAGGTAACTCTAGTGGATTGCTCGTGTCATTGAGTTACCTCACTTGTGGGTAGGTTCTTGCGGTGTCCTATTGTGTGGACGAGGTTCGTGCAACACCTCTTAGCCGTCGAACCACCAAGTGTTGGTCGACACAATGGGGACTAGCGTGTCGGCAAGCACGTGAACCTCGGGCGAAAAATTGGTTATCTCTTGCCCTTTGGTATTCTCTCGGTGATTGATTTAATATTCATCTTGTGATTGGTTCACTCCTCTACACGATGGTATAATCACCCTACTCACTCATTTATATTTTTGTAAACTAGTTGTAGCAAGCTCTTTAGTGTAATTAGAATTGAGAGCTTGCCTTATTGTTTTAAATTCATCTAGTGAAGCTCTTTAGTGTAGCAAGTGTGAGAGCTCTTAGTGAGTAGTAACATAGCAAATTGTGTATCTAGTGATCATAGCAACTAGAATTATTGGATAGATGGCTTGCAACCCTTGTAGAGCTAGAACAAATTTGCATTTCGCTATTTGTTATACTAATCAAATTGCTCTAGCTGGTTTATAGATTTTTAAATAGGCTATTCACCCCTCTCTAGCCATATTAGGACCTTTCACTCTCCCACGTGGAGTGCGTACCATAAGCTCTAGCACTTGACACGGTCGGACCACTTGTCGCCCTTCGCATCTCACTCAACTAGAGTTGCTCTTCGCGATGTCCGCGGGAAGAGCACAATACCCCTTACAAGCACTTCTCTGGAGCACCACACAATCTCCTTGCGTGCTTCGACGGAGCCACAAGCCACCAAGCCGTCTAGGAGGTGGCAACCTCAAGAGTAACAAGCACCACCGACTTTCAACTCAAACACCTAGTGCCACTCGATGTAATCTCGCAATGCAATGCACTAAAAATTACTCACTCACACAATCGGATGATCACTGTCAAATATATGTGAGTTAGAGGGCTCTCAAATACACCTACACAAAGTCATCAAAGCTCAAGGGTGCTTAGCAGCCAGCCCAAGGCCAGCCAAGGTTACTACTTATAACTCCGAGGGCTAAAAGAGCCGTTACACGAAAATAGGCTTCAGGGGGACCATCTACAGTGAAGGTCCACGTGTCCCACGTTGAACCACGCCCCTTTATATCCCAACGGTCACTATTTACCGTGCTATCTGCGTGGAACCACGCCCCTAGTACCGGAAGGAATGAGCTGCAGATTTCTTCCGCTATGCTGTCTTCCAACTTAATGCTCTTGTGCTGCCTTTAACAATGGTTAAATTCACACTGATGGTGCACACCACGTGTCCTCAACAGAAACACAGGATTTTCCGTTGCTGTCAAGGTGATCAGGAACAAGAAACGGCACCGCCGACATATCTCACAGCTATGGGCACGTGGTTTATCCTTAATTATTTCCATGGATTTCATGCACATTTAATCTACACATACTAATATGTCTATTCTCTTCCTTGGCAGGGACAGATAGAAGGAATTCATCAAACAATGTGACGTGGTGTCACAGAAATGGCACTAGTCTGCAGCAGCTTATTCAGTTATTCTCTGTCGACCTAAATGAAGAACATGATGATCCATTGTCGGTGTATGTCGCCACTGAAAGCTGTAGCTGACGCTCCTTTTGTTATCTCATCTCACTGCACGAAGCAAGCAAATGAGCATGACCTTTTTCCCATTGATAACAGGATAATGAAAAGGGCAAAGTAGACATTTGCAGGTGAACTTGAGACACTTAAGTTGTGCCAAAGGTAAACCAAGTAGAGGATTCCAGCATTTCAGATCTAATTCCTAACAGGAAAACTCTTTTGCTGATTACATGTCAGGAAGACAGTTCGAGTAAAATACATATTAAGCATCTGGTTAACAAAACACAGAATGTAATTTGGGTGAAACAGCCTTTCTGAAATCTCATTTGTTTTGACCTGGCCACACGGGAAAAAAAATCATCCAGGGTTTTCAAACAGTACTAATAAGAGTGAATATTTTTTTTACTGCTTAAAATTGTCTAAACACGTAAAACAAGATATATTGTTTAGAAATTGTTTATCCAGCAAAACAAAAATAATGGGTAAAAAAGGTCGATCCATTGAACATCACCTTGCCAGTCAGGTATAAGCTATCCAAAACAGCAAACCCTGCAGCTACTCCACCTTCATCTGATGAAGAAACTTTCGTTCGCATCAAGTAACCACATTGTTCATTGATGACCACTTTATCTTTGTACCTGATCAGAAATTGAGTAGTGTAGTACTCTTCATCAGAAAAAACCAGCACCATATGCAAAACACTATTGACTATTGTGTTTATTTCCGAAGTTACTATACCGCAGATAAGCTCCATATATTCCAAGCTCAGAAATTGCAAGACCCTCGTGGCAAACACCACCACGAACCAGATAAGCAAGAGAAGCTTTTGGAAAGATTCTTTGCATCAGTATGTAGGCAGCAAGTGCATCCCCTCCTTCCTTCTGGAGTCTGACAAGTGTTTCCCTCAAATCAAGACCGTAGATGTTGTTTCCTGTCCACAAATTGCATATTCAAGAAACAGTAAGCAATGATATGCATATGTCAATGGAAATACGAACCTCCGCCTTCACGTTGAGGCTTCAACACGAACAACTCAGGTTTTTCCACTGTAGTTTTTATAATCTCTTCATCATCCAAACTCCATAGCCCAGCAAAACATTTGCGAACCTTGTCAATTTCCTCCTTACTCTCAAGGAACCTATATGGACAGAACAAATGACAGTAAGAAAAAGGTGAAGTTTTAAATATTACACCAAAGACTAATAATGACCCAATAATTATATGTTAGAAATTGAGAAATGCTGGAACAAAATATGCACGACACAAATGTTCAAGAAGTACTACGCTTTGTCACTAAAAAAAAATGATCACCTTTCAAGCACACTAGGCTTTGCTAGTTCTTGTTGAATCTTTTTGGTTCCCACTAAATGATACGATATTGAAGGACACTTTACAGCAGATGATTGTTCCATCATAAGTCTTGCACTCCATTCCTAGAACATAAATGAAGCTCATAATGGCAATTTAAGCATATTATCATCAACAAAAGCAACCAGTATGTCACTACGTCTCCAATATGGGCCTAGAATGGATGGGCCTGATATATACCTAACAATACAAATCAAAGTATTTTGACTTTATTTGCAAGACAGAAAATGAAGTTCACGTGTAACAGGGAAATACAGAAACCCAAATATATTAAGGATAAGACTGAAAAGTCTGAAAGAATTTTATTTTTGGGCAGTTAGTTTTCATAACTGGAAACACAAAAGACTCTTAACAAAAGGCAAAAGGTGTATTCATACTGCTTCTGAGGGATAATCATTTGGTGTATAGCCAGCTCTATAGTACACAACAGCAACTTTCTGGCCACCTCTGCATTTAAAAATAAATATTAATAAGCATAGTGAAAGATTAAGATGCTTCTCAATGCTAAGCATAAACCCAGCACACTGAAAGGTTAAGATGATGCTAAAATGCTAAGCATAAATCAGTAATCAATCAGGATTCGTACACAAGAAGAGTTCCATCTGGGAGAACCTGGCCTTCAGCTTCCACCTGCGATAAGGTTTTCCTTATAGTTGTTATGCCATGTGTAATAAACTGTCAAGGGAACACAAGTTTGATCTTATGATTTTTCATATTGCTCAGGAACAAATAGTTAACAAACACTTGAAATTGATCCCAAAATAATAAACAATCTTAGCACCAAAACTTGGAAGAAACTTATAGGTATGAAAGGCAATGACAAGACTAACTCAAGGATGGGAAACTAAAAAAAGGTATAGCAGTTACATGGGTTAAAAAAGACAACAGATAAAAGTCAAACCAAATAACAGTTAATCACTAAGCATGAAGGCAACACAAGGAATTACAGATTTGATCATTAGGAAAACATGAAGGCAGAACATAAAAGGATATGAGTCTTGCAAATGTGTGGAAAGCCAGTATTGATCATACATATTTCTCTCTTCTGGCTGAACAATCATCATAATTACAGCACTGAGAAAATAATGGAAAAGATAACAATTAATATTCATTAAATAGCAGTGTAATGCATAAGAAACATATATCTTCAAACAGAGCATACCAAACCTGTCAATATTAAACTCAGCCCATGCTTGGGCCAATGCTTCAGCAAATTGAGTGTTAGCCGCATTTGCAGGAACCCTCTTGTGCTCCAGACCTAATAAAGTCCCATGCTGTTTAATTAAGGTCCTGCAGAGCAATTTTGTATCTACATCATGTTGAAGATGCAATAATAATAATCCCGACATATTGAACAAATAAAAATCCCCACTTGCAAAAAAAGAGAAACGTCCAGGTAGATTCATTGGTAAGAAATAGAAATCAATTGTACGCACAGAACTTGGAGCTGTCAATAGAATCTCTTTAGCACTATATACCTTCGTCCTCCAGAGAATTATAGCCCTACTAGAAAAGCATGTGGTGGATACATAATATATCGCTAGCTTTTCCTTACTTCTAGATTGATAAATTTCCAACTGATATCAGTAATGTGGCTGCAAAATAATAGTTTTGCAAAGTGTGCTACTTGACTGAATCTTGTCATTCATTTTTCCTTTCTTTTCTTTTTCTTAACGGAAACAGGAGGCAAAGCCAAGAGAGTCTATGTACAAGTAAAGGCGAAAAACAATGAGCAAGGTAAATAAATATTAGAGGCTACTCAGAAAATCATGCATGAAGACTTTGTGATGGATAGCTCTGTGGATAAATAATGATATTCATTTTCCATATGAATGTAAAATTAAACATATGAAGTGGCCATTATTACAGACCTACTGTTCTACCATGTCTAATTTAGCAAGTTTGACAAATCTGTAATTTTAAAAAGAACATAGCTTTTACATCCTAAGTTTTCATTAAATCATGACAGCATTTTCTAATTCTTTTATCAGCTTCTAAAAGAAAGAGAAAGTACATTCATATACAGAAAGAAAGTCCAATCATAGAAATGAATGGCTGGGTGTTACCTGTGAAGATCACTAAGGAACCAAGCCCAGGAAATGATGCTGAAATGGTGTTGAGCTCAATTTGAAGAAGAGAACTTGTTTCTGAATCCAGCATATAATCTGATCGGTGCAACCCTAAGCGAATATTCTGGTAAATATTGAATCACTGTTCAATACTTCCATACAAAATACGTTACCACCCTCCCCAACCCCAAAAAGATGACGGAGAAAAGTTCTTTGAGGCAATGCGTACTAATATTTAATATTCAGGTTAAGAAGTTAACACCATGAATTTAGAGATAAGTTGTGCTTAATAATAGCGAGGTTCATAAATAAACTCAGTTAGTAAATTTTCCTTGCAAAAAAAAGAAGAGAGTAAAGCAGAGCAAATTACCTCTTCCTTATTTATTTCCATCATTTTCCTGTGAATTTCTAAGAGCCTAGATGTGAAATCATCAACCTGCCTTGTTCTGAAATTATAACATGATCAACCAATCTCATCAGTCCAACAGTTCCTTACAAATTTTGAATCTCTGACATGGATGGTCATTTTATTTACTCGAAACTGAACAGTTTGTTTTTTCAAATATTAGACAGATTATTTAAACTTTTCAACAATCTGATCAATGAGAGCATACAGGGCACTCTGGTAATGCACAGCTTATATGAATTCAAGCGGCAAACAGCTCTGAATGATAATTTTAATAGACATGAATATTGGGGAGGCAGTAAAACTTACTTGGACAAAGCATCCTGCAAGAAATTCCCATCCATGCTAACCCGGTCCACAAGCTCGTTAAAAATGGGAGCGAGCTCGCACGCCTGCCTCCAAAATGACTCTGGAAGATGTGCTGGGAGCAGGGAGAATGGAGCATGAACCAAACCAACACCAGGGACTGTTGCTGATCTCTGCAGGGGTTCAATCAAGATGCTTTTTTCAGGGGTCTGGACCCGGGAAAATAGTTTGGTGGTTGCATTCAGTTCTATCTAACCTTACCACAATGTTTCGTAGTACTACCGATCGAACAGCAATTTCTTTCCTTTTTTTTTTTTGAAAGGGACGAACAGCAATTTCTAAGGCCACCATGTTGGTGCATAAAAATTTCGCTCATGATAAGTAGCAAGGTGAATCGGTACTTAGAAATTTCTATCTAGGGAAGCAAAGAAGCAGCAGCTCAGGCTCACCGGGTCGGCGCGGTCCCCGACGACGAGGCCGTGCAGCGCGCACCACGCGGCGGCCTCCCGCGCCATCTCCCCCGCCGCCGCGGGGTCCATCGCCGGCGGCACGGCGGCACTCATCGCAGGTAGCCGCAGTGGAATCAATCAATCAATTAGGTGGAGCGCAGAGGTGAAGGGAGGAGCGATGGCAATCAATCCCTGGTGTCGTTTTTGTGCTTTTATGGATTCAGATTCCGATGATAGTGGAGGGGGCTGCGCGGAAGTGGCAGCAGACTCTAGTCAAATTGGCTACCCTTTCTTTGTCTTTATAAAAATAAAAATTGTGCCGTTCCCAATCGCCTTCTCCTGCTTTATGCAGCCTCGTCGTTGCACTCGCACCATCGGATCGGAACAAGAAAAAAATTCTACATCTTTTCAATTTCATCCATCCAGTTCTTACTTTGTGACCAGGCATCTGCCTTTCTGTGTGCAGGCGGATAGAATTTTTTTCTATTTTAATCTTTTTTTAATAAATATTTTAATAATAACCGCTCAAAAAAATTTTACACGAGATAGCCTCTTTAGTCGCGTTAGCCCCGCTGGTGCGACAGCACCACTTTTATCACGCCACATGCGCTGGCACGACAAGGGACGCCACGGTGGCACCCATAGTTGACCAAAGCTAGCGTGGCGGTCCGTGAGGCCCACCTTGTCGCGCCAGCCACACCGGCGCAACAGGGCTAGATACAAAGGCCGCGGCCCATCTCCTTTTCCTCTCTCTCTTCCTTCCATCCTCTATCTCTCATTGATCTAGTTTGCATTTGGATTTGGGTTTGCTTCGGTCTCGCGCATGAGGTATGACTCCCTCAATCTGTGTTGATTTTTGGTATAGTTGGTGTTTCTATACTGTTCTGGTTTATACTGCTGTGTGCATTGCTGGCTTTTGATGGATTTACTAGAACTTTGTTTGGGTAAGCACTTTTAGTATATTATGATGATTAATGAGTTGTTGGACTGTTGTAGTGTTTCAGGTTTGTTTTCATATGGCACTGTTCTAGGGTTTCACCGAAATGGTTTGGACAGCTCTTTTGGTTGGACTGGTTCATGTGTAGTTTGTTATTAGAAGAGAATTTGTACTCATTACATGTTTGGATGGTATGGTGGATTGTGTATGCATAAAGATGTGTAGTCAATAGGGATGTTTCTAGGGTTTTAGTTCATGGGTTTCCATGCTTATAGAGATACAAATGATTTGCATGTTTGTACTGACTACGTGCATGGTTTTATTGTGCATGTATGGAGATGATTTTGAGGGGGCCTAATTTGTATGCATGGTTTCCACGATGATAGGTAGAACAATGTTTTTCGGATTTTATATGTAACAGTAGTCATTGATGATTTGGGCAGGTGCAATGGCGTTTAGAAAGAACAAGCAGTTCTTGCACTATCCGAAGGATCATGGTGCCTTCGGTCCTTTCGTACCAGCACTGTCTACACCATTGTGTGACTGTGGGTTACTGGCCTTTGTGAGCCAGTCAAGGCATCCAGAGTTAGATGGGCGTGCTTTCTACGTGTGTCAACTTAAGCGTCCCCCAGACTTGATTCATATCTACAGGGATGCAACTTCTTTAGGTGGATCGATGGCCATGAGATGTTTGATCCGCTGATTAGGTTGTTTCCTTACAACCCATGGAAGAGCTGGCCATATCTTGAGTTTGTTCGTTGGGTTGCGCCGCCACCAAACCCTTCGGAAATGACAGAGGGAGAGAAGGTTGACGCAGCATTGAAACGACTTGCCAATCCTCCTCGTTGCCACTGTGGACTGTCAGCGATTCTGACAACTCCTAGCCAGCGTGGTGCCTTCACTCCCTTCTACCGGTGTGGATTGCCTGATTATGTAAGTGCTCATGCAATCAATCTATTTTCTGAGGTGCTATGTTTTTTTGCACATTATAACATTTGAGTTGGAACATTTTCTTTTTGCAGAGAGGGTTCCCATCTTGTGACTTTGTAGAGTACAACTATGGACCCAAATCACACTGGCCTTCTGAGTATGAATTTGCAGAGTTTGAAGCAGGCATTAAGCCATGGCCATGCACAAAGATGCCAGACCGTAAGTGCAAGTGCGGCATCAAGGCTCGCGAAGGAGTTGTTCTGTCTGAGCTAGGATATGGATACTACTGTGGCAATGCTTATGGAGGGCCGTCTGAGTTCTGGGTGGGTTGACTGAACCGGTGAAGTTACTAAATGAACAAAGGCCACCAGTTTGTTTGCTCATTGCTTTGTGTTTCCTTAGGTGGGGAGGACATGCACTTGGGAGGACTTCCCTGGTCATGGAGACTTACTAGAGAGCCTAAAGATACATTCGCCTCTCAAAAAAGACAGGAAGCAATGAATGCGATAGGAGAAGCAGATAGAGGTGAGGACGAAGTATGGGGTAGAGATGCCATCATGGAAGACCCATAATAGGATACTCGACAACTTTCCTTGAGTGTCCGGTCGATAGCTAAATTTTTATAATAACGAGGCCAAGTTGATGAGCTTCTAACGACAAAACAAGGAGGTCTATGACCATAGGGAGGCCGAGGATGCGAGGGAGCAGGCCTTTCTCCATAGGTCTTTGAATCGTCGCTTATGTGAGTAATTGATTTCGAAATTTCTTTTGACTTGTGCATCTTCTTACAATTGTTGGCAATGAGACATTATTTTGTTCTTGTAGTTCCCGATGATCCACCGGACGACGGACATATTGAAAGCTCTAGTTTGGTTTTGGTTAATTGATGAAACCCTAAGTGCTAACCTAGTTTATCAAGATGATTATGAGATAGGTAGCACTACTCCAAGTGATGAAGCAATGACGAAGATCATGACAATGGTGATAGCATGGTGATCATCAAATGCTTGAACTTGGAAAAGAAGAAAGAGAAAAACAAAAGGCTCAAGGCAAAGGTATAAAATGTAGGAGCCATTTTGTTTTAGTGATCAAGACACTTAGTGAGTGTGATCACATTTAGGATAGATAACCGTACTATTAAGAGGAGTGTAACTCGTATCGAAATGCGGTTATCAAAGTGCCACTAGATGCTCTAACTCATTGCATATGCATTTAGGATCTAGTGGAGTGCTAACACCCTTGAAAATATTTGTGAAAATATGCTAACACATGTGCACAAGGTGTTTGCAGGGTTGAGATGCTCCCGCCGAGTTTGCGAGGAGGGATTCAGCGCTTTTGGAAAAATGAAATGTCTATTTTCTATTGCGCCGGATGTAAAATTCTTGGTGGTTGGCACATTTGAGCAAGGGTGAAGAATCTTGGTGGTTGGCACATTTGAGCAAGGGTGAAGAAGTTAGAGTTGAAATGGAGTTGGTCGAAATGATGCTGGCGTCGGTCTTCTGACCGGACACTGGGTCACTCAGCGACCGGACGCTGAAAGGCTGCGTCCGGTCGAGCTGTCAGACGGCACAGTGGGAAGGGTTGAGCACCGGACGCTGGTCTGCGTCCGGTCAAGGTGGACCGGATGCGTCCGGTCGAAGAAATACGCCTCGGGGAGCTTACTGGAAACGACCGGACGCTGGGGCTTCAGCGTCCGGTCAGTTTTGCCGGAGCGTCCGGTCAGCTTCGTAGCCGTTGAAATCTGACGAACATCGTTTGAAGCTGGTGACGCGTGGCGTCCATCGGGCGACCGGACGCTGAGGGCCAGCGTCCGGTCAGTATGACTGGAGCGTCCGGTCAGAGCGTGTTTTGCCCAGTGAAGGGGTACACCGGCTCTATTTGATGGGGGCTCTATTTATAGCCCCATGGCCGGCTCAAGGGAAAACTTCTTGCACATTTTCATTGACATAGCAACCTTGTGAGCTTAGCCAAAGTTCTCCCACTCATCTCCATCATTGATCCATCATCATTGTGAGATTGGGAGAGAATCCAAGTGCATTGCTTGAGTGATTGCATCTAGTGGCACTTGGTATTCGTGTTGCGCTGTGGATTTCGCTTGTTTCTCTTGGTGGTTGCCACCACCTAGACGGTTGGAGCAGCGGTGAAGGATCGGCACGAGTTGATGATTGTTCGTGGCCGCCTTCGATGATTATGAGGGGAGTTGTACCTTCCCCGGCGGAGTGCCGAAAGGTAACTCTAGTAAATTGCTCGTGTCATTGAGTTACCTCACTTGTGGGTCGGTTCTTGCGGTGTCCTATCGTGTGGATGAGGTTTGTGAAACACCTCTTAGCCGCCGAACCACCAAGTGTTGGTCGACACAACGGGGATTAGCGTGTTGGCAAGCACGTGAACCTCAGGAGAAAAATCGGTTGTCTCTTGTCATTTGCATTCTCCCGGTGATTGGCTCAATCATCATCTTGTGATTGGTTCACTCCATGACCCAGCGGTATAATCGTATCACTTACTCATTTACATTTCCGCAAACTAGATATAGCAAGCTCTTTAGTGTAACTAGAATTGAGAGCTTACCTCGTGCTTTAATCATATCTAGTAGAGCTCTTTAGTGTAGCATTTGTGAGAGCTCTTAGTGAGTAGTAGTCAAGTAGATTGTGTGCCAATTGATCATTGCAACTAGAATCGTTGGACAGGTGGCTTGCAACCCTTGTAGAGCTAGAGCAAGTTTGCATTTCGCTATTTGTCATACTAATTAAATTGCTCTAGTTGATTTGTAGTTTTTAAATAGGCTATTCACCCCCCTCTAGCCATATTAGGACCTTTCAAGTGGTATCGGAGTCGTGGTCACCGTTTGATTGAAAGCTTAACAACCTCGGTGTCATATTATGGCTCAAGTTGTGTTCAACCATGTGGGGGGCAAACCACCTTTCTTTGATGGCACAAGCTATGGTTATTGAAAGAGAAAGATAAGGGTGTATCTTGGTTCAATCAATGATCAAGTATGGGATGTAACCGAGAATGATTATGCTATCATTGATCCCGACAATCCCACCAACCAAGATAAGTCCAACAAGCAATGCAATACAATGGCTCTCAACATCTTATATAATGCCATTGATCCAAAGGTGTTTGAGCAAATCAAGGATTGTGAAAGAGCAAATGAGGTGTGGAAGAGATTGGAGGAAACATATGAGGGCACACCGGCGGTGAAGAGTGCCAAGTTGTACATCCTCAAGGACAAGTTGACAAGTTTCAAGATGAAGGATGATGAGAGCATTCCAGAGATGTTCCATCGGTTACAAGTAATTGTCAATGACTTGAAGGCTTTGGGAGAAAAGATCAAGGATGATGATGTCTCCCATCGATTCTTGATGTGCCTACCTCCAAGATTTGAGATGTTGAGATTGCTCATCATAAGAGGAGGATTGAAGGATATTACCCCTAACCAAGTACTAGGTGATGTCATGACACAAGAGACATACCGTGTGGAAAGGGAGAGGGATGACAAGGATGACAAGAAGGAAGAAGAAGACAAGAAGAAGAAAAGCATAGCATTCATGGCTAGCTCATCATCATACAAGAACAAGGGCAAGTCAAAGAAAGAGTCAAGTGATGATGAGGATCTTAGTGATATTGATGATGAAGCTATGGCTCTCTTTGTACGCAAGATGGGCAAGTTCATGAAGAAGAAGGGCTATGGTGCAAGAAAGAGAAGAGATCACACCAAGAAGAAAGAGTATGTGAGAAGATGCTACAATTGCAAGAGCCCCGATCATGTAGTAGCAAATTGTCCATACAATAGTGACAATGATGAGGATGAGAAGAAGAAGCACAAGGAGGATAAGAAAGAAAAGAAGGAGAAAAAAGAGAAGAGAATGACCTTCCAAAAGAAGAAGAAGGGTGGAGGCTATGTGGTCACATGGGATAGTGATGGCTCTTTGGATAGTGATAGCTCTAGTGATGATGACAAGAAATCTATCAAGAGAGCACTAGCAAGCATCGCCATCAATAACAAGCCCTCCATCTTCGACACTCCATCTACGTGCCTCATGGCAAAACCTACCAAGGTAAAATATGATGTGAGTGATGATGATGAGTGTGAAAGTGATGCTTGTAGGAGTGATGATGAGGAGGAGGAATACTCCAAGGAGGAGCTCATGGACATGTGTGAGCAAGTGCATACTTGCTTTGAGATGAAGAGAAAGGAGTGCAAGGAATTGAACAAGAGAGTCAAATTTCTTGAGCAATCCCTTGATGAGCTCAATGCCACTCATGAGGGGCTAGTGGATGCCCATGAGAAGCTTGGCAAAGCTCACTCTAAGCTTGAAAAGGCTCACTCCTCTCTCATTGAGCAAGTCAAGAAGGAGGAAGCCAAGGAGGAGCAAGTGATAGTTACATGTGATGTGGGACTAACATGTGATCTTATTAATGAATCTACTTATAAGCCTATTGCTATTGCTCCCACTAACACCTCTTGTAGCACAACCATTACCTCTCCACCTATGAATGATACATCACTAATGGTGGAAAATGAAACCCTCAAGAAGGAGGTGAATGAGCTCACTCGTGTCTTAGGCAATGCCTATGGTGGAGATGCCCGCTTGCTAAAGTGCTTGGGTAGCCAAAGGTTTTCTCTCAACAAAGAGGGATTAGGCTATACCCCCAAGAAAGGCAAGGCGGCCTTTGTCACTCCCAAAGCTAGCTTTGTGAAGGGCAATGGTCGGTTTTGCAATAGATGCAAGCAAGTTGGGCATATAGAGCAAAATTGCAAGACTAACAAGAACAAGCTACCTAATGTATCCTCAATCAAATTTGATTCTTGTTACATGCTTTATAAGGGTGCCAATGGTGTGAAGGCTAAGTTCATTGGTACACCGATTGTGGGCCCAAAGAAGAAGGCCATATGGGTACCAAAGACCTTGGTGACTAACCTACAAGGACCCAAGCAAGTTTGGGTACCTAAAAAGAATTGATCTTCTTTTGTAGGTAAATTATAAAGCCAGAGGAAGGCATTGGGTGCTTGATAGTGGGTGTACACAACACATGACCGGTGATCCAAGAATGTTCAATTCAATCAATGAAAGCAAGAGCAATGGGATTGATAGTATCACATTTGGTGACAATGGCAAAGGCAAAGTCAAGGGACTTGGTAAGATAGCAATATCCAATGACTTGAGCATTTCCAATGTGCTACTAGTAGAAAGCTTGAACTTCAACTTATTGTCGGTAGCTCAATTGTGTGATCTTGGTTTCAAGTGCATATTTGGTGTGGATGATGTAGAGATCATAAGTGTAGATGGCTCTAACTTGATATTCAAAGGATTTAGATATGAGAATC